GGTGTTGAGGAACAAGTAGAAAGATGAGAAGTGGATTTAAGTCCTTCCCAGAAGGCATTCATATGTAACTCTGGCTCTTTTGTTTGTTTGTTTGTTTGTTTCTGTGAAATGAAGTTAACAGTGTGCATCTCATAGATCCTTTGACTATGAGATTGAGTCACACATCTGGCCCAGCAGCAGGCACACAGTAGTCAATGAGTAAGGGGTCCTTACAGCTCACTGATTGGCTTGTGGGGCCCTGGGCACCTCAAAGCTGAGAAGGAAACCAGAGGCTAGTTGGAAAAGGCCTTTGATCTGACAGACCAGAGTGGTTTCTGACTCATGTGGCCTTCCTGGGGATGCTTTATTTCATTTTTCCTCTCACACAGACAGGGCCAGACATAGTGGGAACACCAGTGGATGGCATTTGGCCTTCTCATTTCTGCCTCTCTTTTAGACATGTGAGACCAGCTGTACCTTTTCCCAACCTCTCCTCACTTAGCTACAGAAGGCCTTTTTGCCTCCTCCTCCTTCCCTCCCCTCTTCCTGCATAGCTCACCACTATGGCCTGTGTAAAAGCTGATCTTGATGGAGATGGTGGGGTGTGCCAGAAAGAGCTAGGAAATCAGACATGGAGACATCTAGTTCTCACTGCCCCTTGAGATCTGTGTGTCTTCAGCTCTTCCAAACCTTGGTGTTCATTACCTATTGCTCTGTAATAAACAACTCCAAATTTAGCAGCTTTCAAACAAGTGTTCACTGTCTCACAGAGTTTCTGTGGTCCAGAGCCCAACAGAGCTATGCCACATGGGGCCAGCTCAGGGTCACTTGTGAGGTTCCAGTTTTCTGAATGCTTGACTGTCACTGAAAGGCCTGCTTTCCCAATGGCTCTTGGCAGGACACCTGGGGTCCTGGCAACGAGTCTCTCAAAATGGCAGCTGGCTTTCAAGAGGAAGTGGCTCACTGGAAAGCCAGGATGATTAACGAGATGCATAGCCCTTCTATAACCTCATGTTGGGAATGACATATCATCACCATCCCGTCTGCCATGCATTATTGATCACATAGACCAGCTCTGGGACACTGCAGAAGGGATTTGTGCTTTGGAGTAAATATTAGGAAACAGAATTATTGGGGCCTTCTTAGAGGCTGCCTTTCTGCTATGGGGTGAATTGTGCCCCAATCTCCAAATTCATAGGTCAAAGATCTAGCCTCTACTACCTACAATTGCAACCATACTTGAAGATGAGGCCTTTAAAAGGAGGTTATGTTAAAATGAATCCAATGTGATTATCATTCTCCCAAGAACACACAGATGGGTACATATGGAAAAAAACAGCTATGAGCCAGCTATGAGCACAAGAGGGAGATTTCAGAAGAAGCTAACTCTGAAAATACCTTGATCTTAGACATCTAGCCTCTAAGACTGAGAAAATGTATTTCTGTGAAGGCCCCAGTTTTTGATGCTTGATATGGCAGCCAGAGCAAGCTAATTCATTACCAGATCTCAGCCACCTTGTCTGCTGCATGAAGATGACTGTGCTAACCACAAACAACATTGTAACCTTTATGTCTACAGCAGGGACTAGCACAGAGCTCATTCAACATGTCTCCATGAACAATCATATCTTGCCCAGTTCTTTTCCTCCTCCTTAGTAATAAATGGGGTGGGATTCCACAACCTCAGAGGTCTCAGTATTAAGTAGATCTCATTCCATCCTAGTAGGAATAATTCTGGCCCTGGGCTTTGGAGGGTAAGAAGCAGGCCATAGTTAGCAGAGGGCATTTTTATCTTTAGGGGCTATTAGGGCCTTCAGTCACATCATGGGACAAGAAGTCCATTTTTTTATGCTGGGGCAAGACAGGAAATGACTCACATCACAATGGCTCCTCTGTAGACAGTACATGGCAAATGCTATCGGGGCCATCTTTCCCAAATGAATTTAAGGCATGACTGGTAACTTCTGTAACCTAAAGAGGGGTCAGGTGCAGCCTTGATTCTTTTAGGTCTCAAAGAAACCCAGGACAAATGGCTAACAGAGGTGCCTATTTAACATACCAAAGCGGACTGATGCTGCCCACCAGGTTCTCTCAGCAAGGCTAACAGAGTCCTGGCTCCTCTCTGCACTTCTCACCCTCCCCTGCTACCCTAAACCTCTCCAGCCCCCCCACCCGGCCCCGCCCAGCTTTGCTTCCCTTCCCTTCTGGCAACATCTCTGATCACTAAATAATTCAACCATTTTAGCTACACACTCTCTCTTTGTTCTCCTGGCTCTCTGCTCTTGGTCCCTTCTTGGTTCTTCTCCCTCTCCTGGCCCCTTCTCTTGTCCCTCTTTCTTCTCTTCCTCTCTTGCTCTCCCTCCCGCCCCCCTGGTCTATTCTGTTGGCCATGGTCAGTCTGGATCCTTCCTCATGCCTCCTCCTCATGTCTACAATAAAATCCTTCTTCTCAACCACACCTAGGAATGAGCATACTTTCATTTTCATTCAGATTCCAGGTTTGCCTACTCCTCTGACCCCTCTGCCCTTGAAAGGTGCCAGGCAGTGGGAGCAGCGTAGACTGATTTGTGCTTCGGGAGAATCGTTCCAGCAAAGAACAGAAGTGATTGGAAATGCAAAAACTAGATCAGTGGCTCCCAAAGGATGGTCTGACATTCCCTAGAATAGGAGTCCCAGTGACTGGAGTCACATTACCAAGCTAGACTCATGTTTACATACTCTGGAAAAAAACAATATGGAAGCCTAAGCTAGAGCAAGGCTAATATTAGAGTACTGGCCCTTACATCCTTTTTTAAACCTTCATGTTAACCATGTTTGTTATCAATCACAATCCCGCACGCAGTCTACAAACACAGTTTCCATTTTTCAGGTGTGAAAATGAGGTTCAAACAAGTTAGAGCAGATAACAAATCCACAGAACAGGCATCCAATGTTTTGTCCACATGGGGATACTTTTGAAAGCAGTGATGCTAATAGGATGGGGTTAATAGGTCAGTACTGTCCTGGGCTAACCAGGACATACGGCCAGCCTTCAGATCTAAAATGGGACAGAGCTGGAGTCCAAATTCAGAAGTGGAGAGTCCCATTTCTATATCCTCCTCAGCCCACCTCTGGGGATTTGCTGCCTTGTCTCAGCCTGGGGAAAGCAGGGAGCCGGGTCTGCAGTTCTGGGTCACTGCTGGTCAATCATCCAGATGGGAAGGAAGAGTGCAGTTTTGCCTGACTGCTCCTCATCTGGGCTAGCAGGTGACCTGATTCTGCTTTACCTCCAGTCCAGAGCATGGATGGCATTCTCTGGTTCTGTTGAGACATACTGTGAAGATCAGAACCAAAGGAGGCTGCCTTGGGCTCTTCTAGAATACTCTTCCATAGATGCTAGGATCTATTGTCCCACTGTCTCACCCAAAGGCCTGGAAGAACTCTGCTGCACTGGCATCCAGCATTTTCATTGAGGTACTGGTTGTTCCCACCCTATTGGGTGTTTGTGAGCACACTATAATTTACAAAATGACATGTGCCCCCCCCCCCACCGCCTTGGCTGCTTCCTTTAGGCCTCACACCTGCCTGTGATGAGGGACTCCAGGTAGTTCTCACTGGGGAGATAAGCATCCGCATCTGGGACTGACAGGAACAGAGCAATTTGCACAGTCAGCAGCCAGTACATCATGGCCCAGCTTGTCTTTCTTCTGTAATTGCCCACTCTGCCATTTATGGATTTAGAAATGGAAAACCTTGCCAAATTGCTTCAAAAAAGTAAATCTGAACTCATAAAATCTCCTCTTCCATTTTTAAGAGAGGAAAGCAAGTCTTTAGTGATTAGTTTAAGTCAATTTATTGAAGTACAAAAATGGAAAATTTGTCCAGTCCAATTTTTTTTCTGACATCAAGGAGAGTGTACAATCTGATGGATAAGGCAGTGGGGGTGCCTGGGAACCCAGTGGTGACACTGCTCTAGCATCTTCTGTGTCATCTCATTCGGTCCCCACTTTCCAGATAAGGAACCTGAAGCAAAGAGGGCATGATCACTTTCTGGTGACCACACTCATCTAAAGCAGGGTACGGCTGAGATTTCAGTCACCATCGGTGTTGGGGTATAACACCAGGAAATCCAGATTAGCTGATATTTGTTTGGATTTCTTCAGTGCCAAGTCCAGTGCAAGGGACAGGAAGAAAATGGAGATTCAGCAAGGCCTTTCCCTCTCCTCCAGTCTTCGGCACCCCCTGTCTCTCACTCACTCCTAGCCTATGGTCTTGTTTCTCTTCCTTGAGAAAAATCGATGCATCTAAAGATAAGTGACAGCCACCCAGCTTCCTCCATAGTGCCCTGTCTCATGCCTATGAGTCTTGCTTCCTTTCTGTCACTAGATCACCTGCCCTGCTGCTACCTGCTGTCCCTTTCCTACAGGTGACCTTCACCAACACTTCGGAAGGAACAACTGTTTCCTGGCTACTCAACAACCCCCCTTCAGCATGTGAAAGAGAGTCAGCTCAGCATGCCCAAAGCTCGTCTTCCATCAGCTTCAGTGACACTTCGCTTCTCCCCAGCTAAGGGCAGCTCGGCCCTTTAAGTCAGACAAGCCATAGTCTAGACCTTGACTTCTCTCTCTTGTCCATGTTCTTCACACAAAGTATCACCTCTTGGACTTAGCCAATGTATGCAGATGTCTTGGAGTGAAAAGGACCCACTTGGAAACAGGGCTCAGCAGCTAAAAAGTATATCCTATTCCTGGAGAGGACCTGGATTCTGTTTCCTGCACCCACATGGCAGCTCACAACTGTCCATAGCCCTAGTGCCAGGAGATCTGATGTCCTCATCTGCCCTCCATAGGTGCCAAACATACACACATATACGCAGACAAAACATTTATACACTTAAAATAAAGAAGAAGCAGGGAGGGCGAAGGAGGAGGAGCAGCAGGAGGAGGAGGAGGAGGAGCAGCAGGAGGAGGAGGAGGAGGAGGAGGAGGAGGAGGAGGAGGAGGAGAAGAAGAAGAAGAAGAAGAAGAAGAAGAAGAAGAAGAAGAAATATGACAATGGTGGTGAAAAGAGTGGGAAAAACACATTCCTAGATTACTAGATTAGAGAAAAAGCTCAGGGAAGTGTGGCCAAGGGTCTCTGATGTTATGTTACTAGTCTGCTGGTCTACATGCAGGACTGTTAGTCTCTGCTCTGGGGAAAAATTGTTCCCTCAATCTGAACCTCTGCTAAACTAAAACTTAAAGCTAAGGGAGCCTCTTCTGAAATCTCTCTGGACATGAACAGACTATGGATGCAATGTAATCAGTTGTCTCCTGTCCCTGTCTATCATAGGACTTCTTTGCTATGATAGACTGTGGACAGTACCCTTAAACTGTGAACCAGAATAAACCTCCCCTTTGTCATTAAGCTGCTTTTGACACAGCCAGAAAAATAATTAGCACAATGATAGAGTCAACCAACCAGAACAGGGACTTAGGAAATAATGAACGGACATTTCCCTCTTTTAAGTTGTCTACCTTGGGGATTTTTGTCATAGCCAAGGAAATCTAACACAGAAGCTTTCCCAAGGTTAGGTCATGGTGTCCTCAGAAGAAAATGAGCTTGAAAGAGAGTGATACTGGGGGAAATAAAGACAAATGAATTTGGGGGATTCCCTGAAAATGCTGCACTCGGTCCAGAGCCAGATGACAATCTCTATGGGAAGAGCCAAGAGTGAGTGAAGCATGGGGGCTAGAATACAGCAAGCACCAGCCACCTCAGAACTTCACTACAGCCAGGACAGTGACCAGAAAAAAATGCCTGCCTTGGGCCAGTCCAATTTAGCAACTCAAACCAATAGCATAGACCAGTAAAGAAACCGGCAGAAGTAGCAAAGATGGCATCTCTTGTTTTCCAGGTCTTTTGTTATGTATCTCACAAATCTCATACATTGTGTGCTCCATAGTATGATATGCTGGCAGCCCATTCAATTGCATGTGCCATGTAGGAGTGTTTTAGATACTAAATCTTATGACCTCTTCCTAAGAGCCCCCAGAATCCTAGCAGAAGCGGCAGCTGTCCATCATTGCTACGGAGAGGTATCAGCAGAGAGGAAGGGCCTGTAGCTCTGTACTTAGACTGTCACGGGTCAGTCAAATCATGCCTCAATTCTGCACCAATGGAGTGGTTTTGGGGAGAGTCATGTGCCTTCTCTATGCCTGGGTTTGCCTGTTTTTCTGTCTGTATGTATGTATGTATGTATGTTCTTAATGAGCAAAATGGAAACAATGGTGGTACCTCATAAGATCACCGGAAGAGATTAAAAAAAAAACAAAAAAACCAATTACTCTTCAAAGCACTTAGCAACTGGTGCTTCACAACATCAGTATGGCCGTTGGTGACTACAGTTGCTCTGTGTCTTCTGCAATGTGTTATCCCTAGGGCAGTGCAGGACAGGCAGTGTGACTGACTTTCTCAAGATTGACTGCTGGCTAACTGGGGTATCCATTAACATATCAAAGCAGACTCTGACTCCAGATTCTCCCAGCATCTCTCAGTCCTATCTATTACATGGTATGGCTAGCAGACCCTACCACCTATGCTAAATGTCTCTGGCCCAGAGGCTGGTCTTCCTAGCCCCCTCTCCCCCATTCCTCTGGCGCCTACACCAGTCTCTTGGCCCAGTCCATCCTTCTTGGTCAGCAGCTCCTCTCTTGCCCCACCCCTGCCCCCACTCTATCTGGCCCAGCTCAGTCAGGTCATGTTCACTGCAGACTTTACCAGATGTCTCTGCCTCTGACTATGCTCTCTCTTTTCTCTACAATAAGCCTTCTCCTTTACCATACCTAAAACAGCCATATTCTTCCTTTTTTATTTCTTTTTTCTTTTCATTAACTGACTAGTTAGCCAAACTCCAAATGATGAGTGCTTGGAAAACATTCTTTGAGGTGTTATTCAGGTAATATTCCATGTTCTTCAGAAGGCTGAGTATGCACTATAACAGACAGGAGCAGTCAGACAGAACAGGAAGACTGTGTTCCTTATTGTGGATGTGAGTTTAATCTTCAGCACCACCCTAGGACATCAGTGGGATACCTACCAGAAAAAGAAAGGGAAAGCAGCAGGCAGTGAGCCAGGCTCAGACTTTAGGTGCCCCATCTGAGCACTGCAGATCTGCCCTCTGTTTCCTGCTTTGGACCCTGTCTGTGCCCCTTCTTCTGCCTGAAAGGTACCCCTGCCACAGCTCTATGTGAAGGACACCTTACTTCTGCTTTCAGGTCCTGCTGGTGTTACCTCCCCACACAGTTGCCTCATCCTCTGTGATCCCTCAGATCCTCTACCTTGGGAAGCTGGGCATCCATAAGCACCCAGTGCTCCAAGGCATGCCTGTCTGCTCTCTACACTACACAGCCTGAGGGCGGGGCCTACCTTGGACCCGCAGTGCTCAGTATAGGTCTTGCTTGTGGCAAAGGTTCAGTGGTCAAGCTGATTGGCTTCATGAATTAAATACGATTTTTAAAGTCTTGTGGTATGATATGGTTCCTCTAGAACATATGGTTTGCGGGCCAGCGGGATCTTTTCCGACCACTTCCGTAGTAAATGGCTTCATAAGAACTTGGCTTCCTGGAATTTTGCCTACACTTATAATTGCAACCCCATTGTCTCCTATTTGTTTGACACCTCATAATTCCCTTCCTTCTTCCTTGACTAATAATTACAGGCTGTTACCCCCTCCAGCGATCCCTGGTGTCAGATGTATCAGGCCCAGATCAGCTTCCTCTCAGCAGACAGGACCCCAGAACAACATTTTCTGTTTGAGACAGTTTCCTAAAATTGGAAGATAGGCTTGACCCTGGGCTGTGAGCTCTATTGTGTATCTGCTCAATGAGCCTATTACTCAACTTCCCCAAAGTGTAGTTTCTCTATCTGTAAAATAAAAACATTCACACCTTCCTTCTGCAGGATGTTGTGCATGCAGTGAATGACAAGCAAAGATCTAGAGTACAGCAGGTGCTCAATAAATGCTTTAGCCTTTCCTGCCCCATGCAGGTATGATCTGTTGATCTTTTCCTCCTGTGATATAATAATAAATGCATTGTCTTCGAGACACGCATAAGAAACCCCACTGTACACAGACACAGAAAGCAAAGTCTCTAGAAGCCTCTTGGATATCACTTGATCCTTCCACTTGCAGCCTTTTCCCCATCATGTCTTCAGGCAGAAGCCCACAGTACAGATCATGTTTCCCTGCAGTTCAGACCACCCTGCAGGCACGGCACCTCCCCGTGACACAGAAGCACACAGTATCAGCAAGTGCTATGGAAACAAGGGTGGGAAAAGAGGGAAGGCTATTCTAAAGAGAGCAGCAAGGAAGGCCTGGGGGCTGACACTTGCAGGGAGAAACCGGTGGGGAACAGACAGACTTCCAGCATAAGAGAGGAGGCAAGCTTAAGTGGAGACTCAAACCCCAGCATTGCCCTAGAGGGAGCAAATATATGACAATAGAAAGAGAGCTTGGGAGCCAGAAAACCAAGGGTGTGACTTGGTGGTGCTGCTCTCTAGCTGATCAGCCTTGGGTAAATTTCTGAGCTTTTTCTCATCTGGATAATGGGTTGGAAATCTCAGCTCACCCAGTACCAGTGCTTTGCACAGCAAGTGCACAAATTAACATATGTGCGCATAAAAGTTATACCACAGCATGGATCTTACCATCATAAACTTGTAGGTCGTTTTCAGTCTCCAAATGTCTGGCTTCTCTACCAAGCCACTTTGCCAAGGGTTCCTTGAGGTGTCCTTAAATGCTTTGCCCAACTCCAAAACTCCAGAAGGCTTTGGAAAGGCTCGCAAGATTCACCCATGCTTACCCAGGAGAATTTAATCCTTAGCCACCTTTGCTGTTCTGTACAAACGACTCTGCATGCATGGTCAAAAGGAGAAGGAAATAAAATAATTAATATGCTACATAATTAACATTCATTCTCATGCATTACCAGTACAAGTTAAACTAGTGTCTAGTACTATTGTCACGTACCTCTTGTTGCCATAAGGGCTAATAATGTGTTTTTCTTATTTGGATGTGGCTCCTGACAGGTGGGGCCATGAGCAAACAAAATTGCTCTCGAACATCCACACATGTTGTGTACAGAACCTTGGATCAGTGCCCAGGCAAGTCTTTCATGTGCTGCCATCCGAGAGGAGGTCTCATTTGAAAACTCACAACTGATACTCCTTCACTGTCCAAACGTAAACAGAACTGGGATCCAAGAATTCACCGACGCACATCTCTGGTGGGTATTAGCTAGTGCTGAATAATTCATCAGCAGTGGTGATCGTGGTGTTAGAAACGCTCCTTCTCCTGTCCCCAGACCCTCACAAGAACAGACACACAGGATAAATGAAATCCTTATAGATATACATTTCACAAATTTGTTTCCTACTCTCACAGCACCACACCATAGGTGTCCTTCTACCCGATTTACGTTTGAGACTGGTGGTAAACCTGAGGTCTGCCCTAAGTGTCTACCATGTGAAAGTTGTCCTTCCTTAAGAGTCTTCAGTCTCTTAACTTCATGGAAGGATGAGAAAAATCAGATTCAGTCATTGCCCCATAGAGCTCACAGCTTAGCAGGGATACAGAGTCATCAGATTTGTAGTCACTTTGTCCACGATGTGGGATGAAGGACATTTGTGATGTGGCGGAGAGTTGGAAGATTTGATCTGGTTTGAGGTGGGTGAGGGGCGGTAGGGTGACCAGTAGATGCTCTCAGAGGAAGCTTTGAAAGCCTGAACCTCCAGAGAAAAGAGTAGACAGCTTGGGGATGTTCCAAGCAAAGAGCCTTCCAGGCAAGGGAAACAGAATACCACATTGGCAGCAAGGGAGGCAGTAGCAGAAGCAGGTAGGGCAGATCTTGATGGAGTAGAGCCAAGCTGAGATGCAGAGGGGCTTAGATACTTTCAAGGCACAGATGGGCCTCTCTGAGGTCTGACGTGGAAAAAGGCAGCCTAGATCTGTATGCCCCTGCATGCTTCCTGCCTCCACCCATCCTGTCTGCTGCAGCCCCAACAGACACAGGCTGATTCATTGCAAAGAGGTTCATGGTCCAGGAAAAGGATGCTGGTGACAGGGAGGCTGGTAACTGGGACACAGGGTGTGACAGTGGAGATGGAGAAGTATTGATGAGCCAAGGGATCCTGAGGAGGCACCAGGACTCTGGAGCCAGGTAATTCCCAGCTGGCTACAGTAGGGATGTCATGAAAGTGGAGAATGCATAGGAAGGAGCCAAGGGCTTCCTCAGAGAGGGTGTGAGACCCTATTGTTTGCCAGTGAGTTCCCTTTCCTTTCTTTTTCTTTTCCAGTCTTTTGTATGAAGATATAAACTAAAGCATTCTCTTTTAAAAGCTTATATAGGATCGTAACCCTGTTTTATATATGGGAAAAGCCTGGCTCCCCGTGGATTTTCTGTATTTTCATATTGCCATAATTTAAACAATGTGATGAATCCACTGGCTGTAAATTCTGAAGCTGGACTCGGAGAAGTGGAGTTTTATGGGGACTTTATTGAGCTGTGCCCCCAGGGCTAGGTGGCAGTTTGTGGAGGAAAACGGTATTTGGGGGTGGGGTAGAAGAGGGAACTAACATTTATGAGGGTATTCACTGTGGACCAGGCCATTCATCCCTTGGGAAATTAAAGTGAGTGGTGTTTGGTGCTTGATGGGAGCTTAGGGGTTAAGTGAGTGGCACACAACAGTTAAGTGGTCAACCAGGCTAACTCTAGTCATGACCCTGCCACTAATAGCATCCCCATTCCTCTCAAATGGACGACACATCCCAGTAGGACAGGCTATGAGGGAGGCAGGAGGCTTCCTGGTTATTTCCCATCTCTTCAGCTTTTCCAGATTGCACTGTTTAGCCTGAACAAGTCCCCTCATACAGGGGGCAAAAGGCATTTTTATGTTCTGTCTCAGACTTCCCCATGGTGGCAAAGCCCATACCTTTCAGGTCCACATCGAGGCCCAGTACTCGATCTCCACCTCTGCTCTCCTGTGAAAATCCCACAGATGAACAAAAGAGGTGCAGGTCCAAACTAGCTTTGTCCACACCTCAGAGCCTCCTTCAATCAGATTCACAAGGGCAGCTAGTCAAGGCATTTGATGTCCTTCTCTGGAGCAGGTCAGTTCCACTTTACATACAAGGAAACTGAGAGTTAGGAAATTTGAAAAAACTGTCCAGAGTATTTAGTAGCAGTCAGATTTGAACCCCAGTTTCAAGCGCACAAGCCTAGTGCGATCTTCAGCAATGGTGGGTTCAAATACGCTAATGTTCTACTAGCTCCCAAACCTCCAGCTTGGCCTAGCCCCTTGGCCTGAGAAGTGGATACCCACTGTGCTCCCAACAGTGAAAGATGTCCTCGGCTGGACATTGACACGCACTAAGTAAGGTGTGCCACAAGAAGACTCTTCAAGGAATTAACAGGACCATGCGGAGCACAGAACCAGGAGCACCCCCCAAAGGAATCAGTGAAGACTTTTCAGAGAACTACATGGGAGTGCTCCCTCAACAGAAAAGGGATGGAGAATGTGGGGTGCAGAGCTGAGCAGACCTGATGTATGGAAATTACCCTGATGGAGAAAGAGGAGCTCAGAAGAAGACACAGACTCACAGAGAGTGTAAGACCCAGCTAAGCCTTCTGACAAGGGTTTCCCACCTCCTGGGGCTGGTCTGCCCACTAGTGACTGTGGGGATCTGAAATGTTCTAAAAGCAAAATGACAAGGAGCAGGAATGTGGGAGGAGGAGAGCATGGGTTCCCTCGGCTCTGCTCCCAGCAGTCTTCTCTCTGCCAGGCAACTGGGACTGGACCCTCTTGTGCCCTTCTGTCCATGGACACTCAGTAGGAATGTGGCTTTCTCTCTTCACTGCCTAGGAAATTTGTAAGCCATTTTTTTAGGCTCCATGTCCCACCCCATCCTCTATGAAGCCCTCCATGACCCCTTCCTCATATCCACTCACCCTTAGTCATGGCATCCACACCTTTGGGGTTTTGCAGCTTTTGAATTACCCAAAGGATGGCATTGTGACATTGTTAAGACTATAGTCATACTAGCGCAGGTGAAACAAAGCTACTGTGCAAGGCGCTCTCTATCGCTCTCTCTCTCCTCCCCTCTCCCTCTCTCTCTTTTCCCTCCTCACCTCCCTCCCTCTTTCTCTCTTTCTGTGTGTCTGTCTCTCTCTGACTCTCTCTGTCTCTGTCTGTGTGCATGTATGTGTGTCTATCTGTCTTCCTCTCTCCCACCCTCCCTCTCTCTCTCCCCTGTCTTTATGGTCATTTTTACAAATTATATCACTTCTGTCTTATCACTATGCCAAAAGTTCAGTATTAGTTTCCCACTTTAAAAATTAAGAAATGGGATGGAGAGCTGGCTCAGTGAATAAAGGCAGGAGTTTGCTGTCAAGCCCAACAACCTAAGTACAATCATAGACCCATATAATCAAAGGAGAAAACTGACTCTCTCAAGTTGTCCGCTGACCCCCATGGGCAAGCACTTGCACAGGCACACACGTGTGATCACACACACACACACACACACACACACACACACACACACACAGTAAAATAAATAAATAAATAAATAAATAAATAAATAAATAAGTTCTTATGAAGCAACTGAGTCTCTAAGAGGTAGGAAGATCTTACTGCCATGTAAGGCCTGGATCCCACATACACCTCAGCAGTAGAAGGTATTGAAGGCAATAGTAAGTGTTGCCATTCACACTGACTGAAGAGGTGAAGAGGGCTGAAGTGCAAGGAAAGACATAAAATGATAGTTTTGTTTTGCTGCAACTATCTCAGACTGTTCCTGCACAAGTACAAAAGCATACCCTAAGGATTCTGGGAGTTAATCATTGGGACATGAAGACCCAGAAGGAGTATGAGGCTGGCCTTTGTTACCCACATGGGTACATTTTCCTGAGCCCGATGGGCATCCTTCTCCACACCCCTACCAAGTCTTGTGACTGGCCCATCTTCTACCCTGCAACAGAAGCCTCTGTGTGCCTGTCCTCAGAGACAGACGGAGCACCAAAACTCGGTGGTGTTTCCTGGTTGCTCTCTCCCAATTAAGCAAAGAAGCCAACCGCAGCCTCCTTGAACCAAACTAATTGCATCCTAGAAGGCTGCTGCCTGCCAGCTTTTGCCTAGAGTAAGGTTTTATAGGCCACTTAGCCCCACGCCCAGGTTTATGATGGAAACACTGACAAAGCTTCACTGATAAGGCTGCAGAGCACCCCGGAGACCAGAAACCTAGTAATTTTCCAGACTCCAAATTCCAAATCCAGCCTGGATTCTGAGATGTGGGCCAACAAGGCTCTGGCCAAAGCTGTTTGTTTCCCTTCCAACATGCTCTGGAAAGACAGCATGATACCTTACCAGGGTTTTAATGACAAGTTTCTCCTTCAGCATCACCTCCTGGTACCAGCTTAGCGTGCCCATTCTTTGCGCTGCCCAAAATTCATTCATTTGTCCAACCAATCATTGAATTCTGAGTTCCAGCGTGGATTCTGCTGAACACTGAGGAGAAAGACTAACCTATTAAATTACTATTAGCTCAGTTCATTTCACCAGCTCTTCAGTGAGTGACTTGGTTCCATCAATGAAGCCTCACATTGTGCACAACTCTGGGAGGGGGAGGCGTTCACATAAACTGCAGTCGTATCAAGGGCCTTCTTGTAGTGGAATAAGGAAGAATACAAATAAAACAGAAGAGCTGGGGAGATGATTTGGTAGTGAAGAACACTTGCTGCTCTTCCAGAACCTGTGTCAGGCAGCTCATAACCATCTGTAAATCCAGCTCCAGATCTACAGCTTCCTCTGGTCTCCCCAGCACCCATATACACATGGCAGATATTCACTCAGATGCACACAACCCCTTTGGCAAACCTCTACCTCCAAAAACATTTATACTCCAATTCATAACAGTTGCAGAATTACAGTTATGAAGTAGCAAAAAAAATAATAATTTTATGGCTGGGAGTCACCATACCATGAGGAACTGCTGTATTGAAGCATCACAGCATTAGGAAGGTTGAGAATCATTGCTCTAAATGACATCACAATGCTGATTTTCACCCCGTCACTCCCAACTCCTTCACCCCTTCACCCACGCATCTTCTCTGCAGACATCATCTCAGCCCCCACCTCCTATCTTGCCCCAAGTTCCATTTGGAGATCTGTAGTGAGAGATCTTACTAGGTGCCTGTAGCGCTGACCATGCCCATTTGGCTGTGGCCACAGGTGCATACTGGGCGTGTGGGATTTAGGCCTAAAGGGGAGACAGGCTCGCTCTCTCAGGGTTCTGGTCGGGTCTCAGAGGGCAGCTGAGATTGGATGCTCTAAGTGCTGACCCTGGGTTATCGGTTTCTCATGTAAGTGATTTCTCCCCAATAAAATTAACCTACATCATCCCTATCCCGTGTATGGTAATTTTACTACAACAGAGATCTGTACTGTCTCACCTCTACCCAAGCAATCCAGGCAGCACTTTCAAATGAACGTTTACTACAGGATTCCACTGTGTTTTGCTTACACACCATCTAGTCCTTAATCCTATTTGAGAGGACTCTACCCCAGAACTGAACATGAGAGATGCCCTGTCAGTGCGTGCCCTGGAAGCCAAATGTAGAGTGCCCACCTAGCATGTTTTAGGCCATGAATTCAATCCCCCAGCACAACCAATAAAATAGAAAACATATCATCTAAACACCGGTCAGATACACAGCAAGGAATACAAAGTTTAATGAGTGGTCAGCACGGACACAAACAGAAAGAAACGCTACTTAAGTTTGCTCCCTAATGAATGGAAGTGACATGAACTCCTGAACTAATTGGGAGCATGAGGGTAGGGGGGAGGGAGCTACTACAATAAGAGCAAAAGAAGAGGAGTAGAGGAGAGGAAATGGAGGGGCAGAAATATTGAGTTGGGGGAAGAATAGAGGAAAGAGAGCAGGATGAGAGATACCATATCAGAGGGAGTCACTATAGGTCCAAGAAGAGATCTGGAACCAGGGAGATCTCCAGAGACCTATAACGATGACACGATCTGACAATCCAGGCAATGGTGGAGAGGATAACCTAAAAGCCCTTCCCCTAAAATGAGATTGATGACTTCTCTTTATGCCATCCTAGAGCCCTCATCCAGTGGCTGATGGAAGCAGAGACAGACATCCACAGATATACACTGAGCTGAAAT